AATTCCAACAACAGATAGGTTTATATACATACAGTGTGGTTCAACGAAATTTTAACCAGAAATGCTTGAACACGTCAGTTTTGGTTTGAAGGGGAACACATTTTAAATAATTACACCCTTAATATTTCAAATAAACGGGGGGGTCTAGAGATAAATATATTTCTTTTGAAATGTCTTCAAAAAAGCTGGCATTATTGGAAAATGAAGTACCCCACCAATTTCGTTTAAACCAGCTAAGCCATGTTCCCTTTTGCCAGCGTCACATCTATCATGGACATATGATCTTGGGCTTTATTGCTTTCTGTATGGAAAACGTGTAGTTCACTCTGTATAGTGGAGTGTTAGACTTGTCATTGTGACTTATTATGTCACTCCTTCAACTTCTACAGAGGTCTCTTCTCCTTTTAGAACAAAGCTTAGACCTTTTCCTTTATCTGCGCTTTACTTGTTGACTATTCCTGCAGTTCCTTGGTGCTAGCTGGATGTTAAGTTAAGTTAGATGTCATTATTTTGATAGTTGACATAATATACGGATAAAAAATGGCGCGGATCAAAAATGGCATTTGCATTGACAAGTATAATAAAGATAAAATACTGCGCGTTTGCGCTAGGGCAAAGTGACAGCAGATCCCAAGAATAACAACCACAAAAAAAGATGTGGAGGTAATCCATTATCCAGTGTTGCTTGCAAAAGAATTAACAATAAATAACAAGTCATAAACATAAACGAAACTTCACGAAATTCCAACGTGAGAAATTACTTAGGTTTTAAGGATGGGTCAATTGGCATTAAATGATGAATTCCTTAAAATGTTAAATTAGATTTGGCTACAAGCAAACTATTTTTAACGCATTGTCCAGCCAACTTATTAAATTGTCTTATTTTTATAATAAATAAAAACTAAATTCTATAACATTCTAAGAATACTTTATTAAAATCAGAACCGAATTCCAATGTCAATAGTTATAACATTCCATTTGGAAAATTTAAAAAGTATGCCAGACATGAAATAGGTAATTCCAGTTACTAATAGCTTTAAATATCTTATTTTGAGTCAGAGATACGTTTAACCTTGCAAAACAAATCAGAAACAAAAATGACGCACTATACGAAATTCTCAAACAATCAGATTATTTTTTTTAAATTTAATTTTAGTAAATAAAATGATCAAATATTGAAAACAAATTTTCAGCCTGGAAATTTTAAAAAATATTCAAAATAATTTTAACTTCATCTCTACTAAGCAGGCATTGAATATTGTGATCAATGTCTTCTTAAAGTATTGAGTCACAAGCAACACAAATCCATTATCATGTCAAGAAGTTAACCCAATCTTCTGTTATTGTCCCGTATATGTTCAATTGGTGAGAGATCAGAATACCTAGCTGATCAAGGAATACTGGTTACTTGAGAATCACAAAGGAAACTGGTAGTGACTGCTGCTGTATGGCGTCTGTCATTATCCTGCTAGAAAGTTGAGTTTTTAAGTTACTATAGATACCTATGGTATAGTAACTGGTTCTAAAACATTGTGAATGTAATCCTAAAAGTACCAATGCTAAATAAATATAATAGACTGCCAATATTGGACTAATACAGTTCTTTATCTCAGTTTTAGGGTCAGTTTTTGGCCTTCTGAGGTTTTGATCCACTATCCATCAGCTTTGAAGCAATTTTAGAATTTTTCTTGCTGCAGTTTTTCAAAATCTTTTTTATTTACTGTTGTGGGATAGATAAAGATAATACTTTTCTCGAGAAACTTTCAGAGAAAGGTGAACATCTTAATCTGTTCGACTACCTCTAAAAAACTTGCACAGTGGTGCAGATAAAGCAGCGCTCTTATTGACAAGGATAGGTGGTATTTCACCTTTGAAAGAATTCGTCTCTTTGTTGGATCATCATCTTTTAAGGTATGAAATAAAAGGACTAAACAAATTTGATTGGTTCTAAGTAGTTTAAGTTGAAAGTAGTTTGGTTACTGTAACATAATTTAAAATGTAGTGCAAAAGGATCAGCAATAGAAAAAGTTGCTTTAAACTATCATTGTTGTATTTCATGATAGACGGAAGATGTTCTGTATGTTTTAGGCTATTAATAAATGTCCAGAAATATTTCACACTTTTAGTAAAGTAGCATGGATCATCACGTATGGTTCGTTGTACTATTCTAGATGTTTTTAATTTTTTCTTTAGGAACATATAATGGCTTTCAAAAGATAATATTTATGTAACATATGTACCATTAGAACTAAATTTACGTTACTGTATATAAAATATCAATTAGTTTGTTTCAGATATGTTAGGTTGATGAAAACCAGCTAGAGGGTTCTGGTGTATTGGAATTCGTAGATAAACAACAAGCAAAGTCTACAAAATGCCATTAATTGATTTTCTTGTGCTCGTGACCATCTTATTTATTAGGAGAAACAAGTTTCGTTTAATTTTCTTTTCTCTTTCCTTCCATATGATTTTAAAAAATTAATTATAAGCATTTGTACTGACAACAAATTTGCCATTTGCCTATAAAATAGGTTTTTTTTAGTTTCTGTATGAGGAACGACATGGCAAAATATAAAAACAAAATATTTATTAAGGAAAAGTTCCCAAATACGATTTACAAATTGGACAATAGTGGTACTGACTCATACACATCGGCAGACAAAATGGTAGCCAATAAAAAGGGCAAAATATAAAACAAATTATAATTGAAGATATATAGGTACACAAATTTGGGGTGTCCCGTACATATGTAACCACTCTGTTGTTGCAGTATGGACATGGAACGGTTTGAGGATGTCGATTGTTAATAAGATCACTGTGTGCCATTGGTACAAACACAACTGGTGCACTAATTCTTCAGTGACTAGCTTTTTCATCCATTTTGTACAACAAAGTTGCGTCTTTTTGGTTTTACAGAGTTTATTGTATGTATACTTCTTGTCTGTTTTTATTATATTATTACTAAATTATCTACAATTACATATATTGCATGATTAAATGTAAAATCACTTCAAATCTGAAATGATGCAAAATTTTTAATGACTATCAATTTTGACATATCGTGTTCTCTTTACAGAATCAAGGAACACCCAGCCCAGAAGCGAATGTCAATGAATTTTTATGTACCAGAACCACATACTTTGATTTTCTTTTACTATACGGAGAATGGTCGCCACATACTTTGATTACTATACGAGGCAAGAGAGAGGTACGACACGCCCAACATAGGGCGCGGCCATTTTGAACCCTGTGACACAGTTTACAGCTAAAGAATCAGATCGCTCACTATGCGTCGGCACTTTTGATCTCAATGTTTCAGTTTATACACTGTGCAACTCGGATAATACAATATATGACAACGGCCTATAATAAAACAGCAGTCTTCTGCGTATCCTAAATTTGTATCCCTAAAGTGGATGTTATTTTGGAACTTTCAACTGGTCCGAGTGAGCTAACTTATTCTTTAGCAATAAACTGTGACTCCAAAAATAATATTCACTGACACTGACAGCAGCAATCAAAATATCAGGTGCGTTTTAATCATCCGCTTCTGCTTCCTGAATTGTCGGTTTAGTCGTTTTAACCTGTCAGATTAAAACAAGAAAACCGACAATTCCAAAGCAGAAGCGGATGATTAAAACGCACCTATTAAAAATATTGCGCCAAGATGTAGGCAACACGTAATAAGGGTTCAAAATGGCGGAGTTTTCTATCTCCTTTTAAAAGGCACTCAGAAAGCTGCGCAGTGCGACCATTCTCCGTATAGTAAAAGAAAATCAAAGTATGTGATGGTCGCGCTGCGTAGCTTTCTGAGTGCCTTTTAAAAGAAGATAGAAAATCCGCCATTTTGATCCCTTATTATGTGTTGCCTATATCTTGGCGCAATATTTTTATTAGGTGCGTTTTAATCATTCGCTTCTGCTTCGGAATTGTCGGTTTTCTTGTTTAAATCTGATAGGTTAAAACGACTAAAATGACAATTCCGGAAGCAGAAGCGGATGATTAAAACGCACCTGATATTTTGCTTACTGCTGTCAGTGTCAGTCACATACTTTGATTTTCTTTTGTGTCAGTAAATATCACATATTTACTACATAAGTTAAATACTCATTAATATAAAACTGCCTAATGACCAAACCTTTATTATAAATGTAAACTACAAAAGAGTTTTACTTCTAATTACGTCGACCAGTGTAAACATCACATTCCAGACCAGTTTATAATTCGAGCAGTATTTTAGTGTGTCCTTCCGTCAATAACGTTAAAAGAGAGAGAAAGAAAATTTGCACCACCCAAGATCAAAGGCACCGACGCTTTATGTCGCTACTCAATGGTTAATATACTTTGGTAGAATCCTGAATTTGAGTTTTAAATTATGAGTTCAGGCTTGTGTTATCCTCTAGATGAACTAAGCGAAATGGTTGTGGCTGTTTTTTGTGTGAAATTTAAGGACAATAAATATATTTTGTAATATTACAATAAGTCGGAAAACGTATAGTATTAGTAACACATGCCACATGAATAAATGTACCAACCCTAATGTGGTGTTCTTTAATTAAACAAAGTAAGATCTGTTCATTACAAATAGTAGCCAACTTTTGTCGCAAAGTAGGTATTTATTTATTATTTATTGTTTTAGAACAAGAAAATGGCTTCAAAACGTTGGAAAGAAGATTTGATATTTGTTATGAATAGATTTACAATAATTTATCGATAATAGAATGTAAGTGTAGTATTATTTTTAATAAATAATTTAGCGTAATTACATTGTTTAAATTTATTTACCAGAACGTGAGAGTGCAGTCGATAATTATTCAACCTTTATTATCAGATTTTTAAATTTCCCGCTGCGATATTTTTTGATATCGATGTCAGCGCCACATAGTGGGTCAAATTTTAACTCCATTAAAGCTGAGTTGTTAAGCATTGGCTTCTTATGAGCGTTTCCTATCTTTATCTCCCTTATCTCTGTCAATTATCATATCAGTAAAACATATTAGTAGTCAAAAATATCTATCTGTGATTCCGTGTCACTAGTTTTAACAAATTCCAAATGTCGATATTAATTATTTTATAACCCTTTCATTTAAAATTTGCGATACACATTTCTAAAAAGAAATGGAAGCAAAAGAGAACAGAAGGTAAACTTATAGAAACAAATAGAAAAATTGCATGGCTGATGGAGTTCATCTAAGTCCAACATATCTTATATATAGCCCAGACCCTCAAGCTATCGTATGTCCGTATTGTCGAAATAGGGTAATTACATACGTGGTAAATATACCGAGTGTCCACACATACATAGTATCATGTCTTTTATGCATTATTTTTTGTCCGCTATATTGGCTACCCTTCGTTTGTGCCAGTACTCAGACTCGGAATCACTTTTGTCCTATTTGCAGATCATTTCTTGGAAGTTATCCATAATAAAAACTTTGGAAATTACAGATACATTAAAAATATAACACAACAGATATTGGTTTTATTAATACAATATTAAGTTCGATTGCTTTGAGATGAGGTAAGTATGCCTTTCTATTTTGTATGTTTATGCAATTTGCTAATTTTAAGGCAAACAGTAGATTTAAAATTTGACAGATTTAAGATATGTGTCAAATGGTTAATATTATAAAGTAAAAACCTTATATTATCTAAAAATTATAGTTAAATGAAAGGATAAGTTTAAACATTAATAAGTAAACAAACCTACATCAACAGTATTTATAATGGTGGTAATAGATGACGATATGGTTTATTATCATTTTGGTCCCAAACCCTTGCCAATAAAATGTCCTTACTGCAAAAAAATGGTGATTACTGATGTCGTAGACGTACCAAATATATTTACTTGTATATACTCAACTCTGCTATGTTTAATTTGTTGTCCTTTATTTTGGGCGCCATATTTCTGTACGCCCTGTATGACGCAATACCATTTCTGTCCATTTTGTAACAAATTGTTGGGAGTTTATCCTTAAAATTTTAATATACTTTTATTAAATTAACTTGTGTGTTTTTTTGTTTTGTAAACGTTATGGTTGTGCAAAAAGTAAGAATAAATACAACATACTCTCCGATCTCAATAATACTGTCACGTTAAGCGTACTCTTTAATAATTAAATGTGTCACAATAAATGTGTTCTTAAATAGTTTTGGGACTATCTATGTCCTAGGGGTCAAATAACAAAATATGTCACGATAGACCTCAATGAGGACTGTATTGCCTTAAATTAGGCTTAGTGACCATTAACTATATGGGAAGTTTATTCGGCAATTAAAACCTCTGAAGATTAAAGGAAACACAATGTTTTCTTAAAACAAATATATTATGTGTTTAATATAAAAATACAAAAGAGGCTACAGCTCGACATACACAAATATGGACTATAATAAATATCTTTATAAACAAACTAACTAACCAACTCTAATTAAGGTGTACACGTCACACCTTTTGCCTGACTATTAAAATGCAATTATTCAAAATACTAAAAAACAACTTTTAATTTAAACTGTGAAGATTATGAGCTGGAGCTGCTACAGGGAATCTCCTACAAGGGGGACCTCCTATGGGGATGATCCTTTCCCTGTGGAAAAAGCCATGCGCATCACCTCGACATTACCTTTATAACTCTCTCATAGTTTATTGTTTTTAAAACTAATGTTTAATAATTATTAAATAACCAACCTTGCACATTATTGCTATTTAAAACAAATTTTTGACATAATTAAACAAAGTTTTATGTACCGGATGTTATTTAATTAATTAATTAAAATTAGGAAAAATATGAATTTATACGAATCGAGACAATACTTCCAGAACAAATAAATCAATTTTATATCCGTAATATCCAATTCTTTTTAGAAGTAGAATTCTTTTTACTCATAACTTATTCTTCAAGTTTAAGGTCAGTCTGCACTCAAAAAGATCTTATATAATTAATATTTTAAAAACTGAGTGTAGAGAACCGATGTGTTTTGTTACTATCTGGCTTTAACTGATCCTCATTTTATGATACTGTCGTTGAATGATGTAATTATAGTTTGAGAGGTGATACAAAACATTACAAAGATATGATACTTAGCCGACGAAATCTCATTGAGTTCGCGCATAATGTATTGTGGTGTGATTGACCATGAGCTGATTAATAGTATATTGTTTCACGAGTGACGAAAATCGGCTTCGCCTCGGTTGGTAAATTGTTCTCTCGCTTCAAAAAAGATTTTCGACGAGTAAAACACTATACTTTTTCTACGAACTCTATTATGTCATGTAGGTACCTACTAAAATAAAAAAAAAACAAACGTTAGCAAATGCTTTATTTTGTGTTAGGAATAACAAAAAATTAACCAACAATTAAATATTTCAGAAATATTATTTATTATTTAAATATTAACTATAGATAGGGATAAGGCTTACAAAAATTATGTATTAAACAAAACAGAACAAAATAAAGAATTATATAAACAGAAACGTAATATGGCTGTTAAAACTATTAGAAATGAAAAGAGAAAATATTATGACTCTCAAATTATGGAAAATAAAAATAATTCTGTTAAATTATGGAATGTAATGAAGGAACTGTTACCCAAAAACTATAAACAAAATGATCTTGTAGAAATTGAAATAAATGAAAATTTAATTATAAAAGACATAATTGAAATGCCAAATGCACTTAACACATATTACATTGATAGTATAATTGACTTAGTATCTAATATAAATCAGAACGTTAATGATTTTCCCATTATTGTTAAAAATGATAATGTAAGTCTTAAAAAGTTTAATCTTGTTAGTTTTGATACTTTAAAAGAAATTGTTTTTGATATGTCGAATAAAGGAAGTCCTGATGAAATTAATGTACTGTTTTTAAAATACTGTTTCGAAAATATTGCTAAGCCATTGATAAATATAATAAATTCCTCGTTAGAGACTAATACTGTTCCAGACGATCTAAAAATTTCAATAATAACACCAATAGCTAAGGTTGAGAATTCAAATAGGGCAGTGGACTTACGTCCTATTAATATGTTATGTACAGTAGAAAAAATTTTAGAGAAAGTAGTATATAATCAACTTATTGAATATTTGGAAGAAAATAATATGTTTAATAGTAATCAATCAGGATTTCGGGGTAAACACAGCTGCGAGACTGCACTACAATATGTATTAAATGACTGGAAACAGAATCTTGACAACAAGTTAATTACAGGTGCTCTTTTTTTAGACCTACAAAGAGCATTTGAAACGGTAAATCGATCTCTACTGATTAAAAAGTTAAAAAGTTTTGGTATTATTGAAAATTCACTAGAATGGCTTATAAATTACCTGGACAATAGAAAACAAAAATTAAGGTTTAAAAACATTTTATCAAAAGAACAAAAAAATGAATTAGGCGTACCACAGGGGAGTGTATTGGGCCCACTATTGTTCCTTCTATATATTGATGATATTTCTCAAGTTGCAGGTGGTTGCTCCATACATATGTTTGCAGATGATACTCTGCTGTATTATTCTGCTAATAATTTACAGGAAGTAACCGCTACTATAAATACCACATTAAAGCAAATATATTATTGGTGTTGTTTTAATTCGTTAAAAGTAAATATTAACAAAACTAAATTTATGATTATCGGGAATGTTAGGTATTACAATGAATTTACTGAAAATAATATGAAAATTAGTATTGAAAATGATGTCTGTCATTGAAGTCGTAAAAAAAATTAAATATCTGGGAGTAATAGTAGACCATATGTTGTTTTTTAAAGATCATGCAAACTATATCATTAAAACAGTAGCGTTTAAAGTCAACTACTTATACCGGTGCTCAAAATATATTAATAAATGGTCATTGATTCTTTTATATAACAGTATAGTTTTGCCTCACTTCACTTATTGTGCCACCATTATGTATTTACTTAATCAGAATGAAACCAACAGACTTCAGAAATTACAAAATAGAGCAATGAGGATATTATTGTCATGTGATAGAAGGACCAATATATTAGGTATGTTACAAAATTTGAAATGGCTTTCTGTTAAAAACTATTTTCTGTACTTAACTTTAATATTCATTTATAAAATTAAACATGGACTGGTCCCCTCTTATTTACTTGATAAAATCAATTACAACTTTGACTATCATAACTATAACACAAGAAATAGATCTAATTTTCATATTCCACAAGTTGCACGTAAACAGTCCCAAAATTCAATATTTTTTAAGGGACTTCAAGCTTTTAATGAGATACCATTAGAACTCCGAAATGTCGCCTCATTTAATACCTTTAAATATAAACTAAGAGATTATATGTTAACGAGCCAGCATCTGTGATATTTTAGTGTTATATTTTATATTTTAGATATAGATAAATATTTTTTGTAATTTTATTTATTTTGCTTTGCTAAATAAACGAGATATATATATTTATTGTTATATTTGAACAATTGTTCAAAATTATGGGGGTATCACACTCAAGCTTTTTATTTATTGAGGTAGATGCCGACATATTTGTTCTACTGTTAAATGTCATTTCAGATGATGATGATGCGCCATAATCGGATGAACTAGTAGTTTCCTTATTTTGTACAGATTGTAAAAGTTTGGTTTGTATTTGGTTTTTACTGTTCGTAGATTCATCAACATATCCTTCCGCAACACTACTAGATTTCCAACCACCGTGCTTTTTTAACAGAAGCAAGTCACCTCCTGCATCCACTAATAGCGTTGCGGATGTTCTGCGGAAACAGTGCCCAGTGTAATCTTGAGGATTCGGAAGCGTTAAAAACTGAGCAATTTCGTTAGGAAATTTACTGATTTTATTAATTCCAACAACCTGTCTGCTACACTTTCCATTTTGATAATTAATAAAGAATCTTGAATTAATTTGATCCATGTTTGCGGGACGTAGGCTCATATATTTTTTAGAAATATCATGAAAGGGTCCAGAAATATGAAAAGAACGCGGAACTTTTGTTTTTGTATTACGGATTTTAACTAACAGAATACTTCCAGTATCTTTTACATCGCTTATTGTTAAATCTTTTAGTTCGTGGCAACGACAAGCGCCAGATAATCCAAAAACTAATGATACCTACAAATATTAGTAGTTATGTATTAAGTATTTGTTAAAATAAAAATAATAATTCCGTTACCTTTGTTATTAAATATTTATAGTCAGGTGCATTCTTTAGGAAAGTCTTTATGTCTTCACGCGAAAAAATTTTGGAATTTTGGCTTTTAAAACCATCAGATTTTCTTTTCAAAAGCGAACGTAACTTTGGATATTTACTAATATCGACATCATTTTTAACAGAGAGTGTAGTTCTTAGCATCGAATAAATGGACCATAACGTCGACGGTTTAAAATTTGAACATATTTCTCCAAAGTATGCTAGTAGTACAGTTTCCGAAAATGATTTCACTTTATTGTTTTCTCTCCCTTCCAAAAATTTGATATAAATTTCTTCATATCTCTTTTTTGATTTGGCCGGTAATAAATCTGAAGAGGTTTCTTCAGCTTTAAAAATAATTTCTGGGGGAGTACAATCGCTTTCTGACTCAGACATCATAAAAATGTGTTAAATTTTGGACGAACTGAAACTGACAGTTCTCAAAAGTGATAAAACTTCAAATAAACAAATGAAAACCAGGAAACTAGATGTAGATTGGTTTAATTTGCACTATTTTTATACATTTTTATGTTATCTTTAATTCATTAAAGTTTAGGTAAAAACGCATATAGAATTTAATGAGCATCTTTTTATTTCATTATTAATAATTATAAGCTGCCAAAATATTATACGAGGCGACTGATATATGAAAATATGTAACAACTTACTTTCGTCACTAGAGACGAAAGTAAACGTTATGGGAGTTTTTCTCACTAGTGACGGAAATCAAGTTTTCGCTGAAAGTATCCTGTGGCGAAAGATGTCTTTTTGTAAGAGTTCGTAGAAAAAATTTATTTTCGCGTGCTC